AAAAATGTAACGAATATTAAACTGGTGGAAGAGTAATTCTTGTGAAAGATTTGGTATCGGAGAAGGTTTGCTAGAAGAAGAAACTCAATCTGTTTCTTTTTCTTTTAAATGAAAATTGGAAGTAAATTGCTAGGAGTGGCGTGCTAAATATTCTACTAAAACAAACTTGTTCTGTTTACCTGTTGCTTCTGTGAGAAATGCCTTCGCCCTAGCAATGTATTAACACTTGAACAACCCACTGCTTCATACCATGGCTCATGTGGACTACACATGCCTCGCTCATGTATGTGCAGCTCCCCCTTCTTGCAGTGCTGAGGGTAGAGCATTGTTTGACCTTGCATGACTCTGGGGCCTGTATTGCACTTGCCATCCATATAATCACAATGTTTAAGTTGCCTGTGATTTATTTCCACGTTTCAGTCATATTTTACAAGTGTATTTAGTAAGCTGTCAGTGTATCTGCATTTTTAAGATTGATTAAGCCCTATCAATATCAATTAACACTGAATAATTGCTATTATTAGCAATTGTTAATAACGTATCAAAAAGCAGTCAATGATTAGTTAAGATCAAATTAAAACAGACGCTGCTGAAGAAGCTGTCCTGCCAAGTCTAGTCACCCAAACATTCATGTTATTATTATTATTATTATTATGTTATTATTTATATAGCCAATGTTTTTGAGATGAAAGCGGCAGGATTTGGCAGTAGACTGAACATGAGGCTTGAAGAAGAGGTCAGAGTCAAAGAGAACACCTAGGGAGACAGACACAGGAGTAGCAACACTTGAGGGAGGAAAGACCAGAATTTAAGTTTTGGTCAAGTTGAGTTTAAGGAAGTGGGCAGCCATCCAGTTAGAAATAGCAGAGAGGCAGTCAGAGTTTACCAAGGGAGGAATTATAGATGGAGAACAGTAGGGAAACAAGGACTGAACATTGGGGGACACCAACAGAGAGGAGTTGGGGAGAAGAAGCAAAGAAGCAGAGCCAGAGAAAGAAACACTGAAAGAGCGCTGGGTTTTTTTTGGGGGTTGGGGGAACCAGGTGAAATCAATATCTTGCAACATGTTACATTCTCTATTTTCAAATTCCTTTGCTTTTGTTTCAGTTTGTAAAGAATTTGGCAAGTCAAACTTCTGAATTGCCAAATTCGGACTAAATTAAACACAAAACTAATTACTCATGTTTAATGGGACCTTTGCAGGGCAATAAAGGTGGTTGTGCACCGAGCACAGCATGATACCCACTGGACCCCATGGAAGCCACTTGCATGAGTCAAAATGGTAAGCAAAACAGGAGGGTGGCTAGTAATAGCTTGTTAATATTTTTGTGTGACAGTGTGTGTGAATGTATGTGTCCCTCAGTGTGGGTATCTATCAATGTGTGTGTATCTGTTAGTTCTAGATTGTGAGCTCGTTTGAGTAGGGTATATCAACATTATTTTAGTCTGTCAATTACAATTGTTAAAAGCCCTATTGCATGATTGTAAAGCACATGCAGAAACTGTTGGTGCTATATGAATGTTAAAAATAACAATAATAATAGTGTGTATGTATCTCTCTGTGTCTGTATCTGTTAGTGTATGTGTACCTATGTTTGTATGTCTGTTAGTGCATGTGTATCTATCATGTAGATGTAACTACGGCCTGTAGGCCAAAACATTGTATGTCTGGTTCCTGTGTGCCCAAATAAACCTTTATAACACAAGATCAAGTGCTTTTTTAAATATATATATATATATATATATGCTTGTATTGAGCAACAGTGTCATTCGGAAGGGGGGAGGCATTACCCAGGCTTGAGCCCCGAGTGTGCCTCCAAAAATCCCAGGGCCTAAAATAGGTCAATTATTATAACCAGCCTAAATTCCCATGTCTTGGAAATGGCTGGGGACATGTAGGCTAAAGGCACATTGCACATCATGAAGAGATGTTACTAAAATTCCAGAACTTCGCAATCATGCTTTAGGAAGACGTCACCAAATTATTATGTGTGTTCTTTGACCTTGGCAACTCTCCTGGGCAGCGAGATCCACTTCATTATAATTGAACTGAGTGCAGTGTCCATAAATCTATTTTCTCAATTATTCAGCCCAGTAAATACTGCTGGAGTGCTTACTTTGATGAGTTGTGCTGCAGCAGGATATCAGAGGGGGTGGCAAACACGATTTTTGCCTAGAGTTATAAATATCTTTGCATCAGCCCATTCCATGCATTTAATATGTTATATATAACTTCCCCATCATAGCCAGCATATTAAAAAAAAATCCTAAACAAACTTAAAACTAACAGTGCTAAAGTGAAAATTCAAGGTGAATTCATACTGAATAGCAAAGTTAAAGGAACACTATTGTCACCAGAACAACTACAGGTTAATATAGTTGCTCTGGTGTTTACTGCCTGTCCCTGCAGGCTGTTCAATGTTAACACTGCCTTTTCAGAGAAAGGCAATATTTACAATACTGCCTAGGAACACGTCTAGAGTCAATCACTCAGACGGCCACTAGTTGTGCTTCCTGGGTCAGTTGTGCACAATGTGCAGCACTAACGTTCAGCATCACTACATTTTGCATGGAGACGCTGAACGCTGCCAATAGAGATGTATTGATTCAATGCATCTCTATGAGGATAAACTGATTTGTGTAACGCTGCGTTTTGTCACGCGTGTGCATTAGCCTTCCAATGCTTTCCAACTGGAAAGCATTGGATTGGCTGAGATCATCAATTCTGATATGAGCCAAGGGAACGGAGCTGTGATTTTTTTTCTAGTTCAGCTGTTTTGGTCTGCATTTAGCCATTTAATTTTAATTAGCTCAAATTCAGCGTTCCATGTCATTTCTGACAAAGGACTTTGTGCTTTTGTATTTTTAGAAACTGAGGGAAAAAACTGGGTATTTAAAGTATTTAAAGTTCATTCAAAGTGATATTCAAATTTAAGGCCAGTGTAGTTGAAGTGGATGCATAGCAGACTTAAAAAATATTCCCATTTTGACTTTAAAGGAACACTATAGGATCAGGTATACAAAAATGTATTTCTGACCCTATAGTGTTAAAAATACTATTTAGGTGGCCAGCCCAGTGGCGGATCCAGAGCCTGATCTCGGGAGGGGCACTTGTAGATTATTTAAAGAAATAATCCAGACACAATAACCACTACAGCTCAGTGTAGTGGTTATGGTGTCAATAGTGCCGGGACCCCCTCCCAGAGTAAGTAGTCAAACCGTTTAAGAACAGTTTGACAACTTACCTGAGGTCTGCTGGGAAATGGGGCAGTAGTAGGGCATAGGAGCAGTGGTGTGTGTGAGTGGTGCAGTGTGTGTGTGTGTGAGGGGGACAGTGTGTGCGCAGTGTGTGTGTGTGGGACAGTATGTGTGTGTAACAGTTGAAGTGTGTGTGTGAGTATTGCAGTGTATGTGTGTGTATGGGGTAGTGTATGTGTGTAGAGTGTGTGTATGGGGGGCAGTGTGTGTGTATGGGGGTAGTGTATGTGTGTAGAGTGTGTGTATGGGGGGCAGTGTGTGTGTAGTGTGTGTATCGGGTAGTGTATGTGTGTAGAGTGTGTGTATGGGGGGCAGTGTGTGTGTATAGGGGGCAGTGTGTGTATGGTGGCAGTATGGGTGTATGGGGGGCAATGTGTGTGTATGGGGGCAGTATGGGTGTATGGGGGGCAATGTATGTGTATGGGGCAGTATGGGTGTATAGGGGCAATGTGTGTGTTTGGGAGGTAGTATGGGTGTATGGGGCAATGTGTGTGTGTATGGGGGGCAATGTGTGAGTATGGGGGGCAATGTGTGTGTATGGGGTGCAGTATGGGGGGCAAAGTATGGGGGGGCAGTATGGGTGTATGGGGGGGCAGTATGGGTGTATGGGGGGCAGTATGGGGGGCAATGTGTGTATGGGGGGCAGTATGGGGATCAGTGTATGTGTGTAAAGTGTGTGTGTGTGTGATAAGGGTAGGGGGGCTTTTTTTTTTTTAAATATATATTTTTTATTTGAATTTTTAATATAAATATTCTATGTCCCCCCTCCCTTCTTACCTTTACTGGGGAGGAGTGGGGACATATTTCGATCCCTGGTGGTCCCAGTGGTGATTCATTGGTGGTTCCAGTGGGGAAAGTGATCTCTAGCCCGCGCTCCCGGGCTAGAGTTCACTCTCGCGAGATTTGGAGCGTTGCCGCAGCTCCAAATCTCGCGAGAGGAGGACCCGGAGGAGCCGCAGCCTGAGCTCCGGGTCCTCCTTCTCCCTCCGCCGCCGGCTGTCAGCACAGTGCCTGCGGACCGGGGAGGGAGAGCTCTGATCTCCCTTCCGGTCCGCAGGCACATTGAAGGGCTAGCACCTGCATGTGCTGGCAGGGGAGAGGGAGACCGGCGGATTTCTCGGGTGGGGCAATTGCCCCGTTGCCCCCCCCCCCGGATCCGCCACTGGGCCAGCCCCCCTTACACCACTTAAAAAGGCTTAAAACGTACCTTTATAACAGCGCTGTGTGAGTCCTTTGAGAAAAATTACATAAAACACCAAATTTTAGCTAATTAAAATCAAATGGTTAAATGCAGATCAAAAGTGCCCTGAATTTTGTCATTCATGTTTACATTTCAAAGATTGGTGTTTAGTGAATAACCCTCAGCCAGTTAAAGTGAGAATTGCCAGGAATTCAAAGTGAAATTCAAATGTAAGATTAACTGGAAGTATAGCTAAGCCTAATATAGAATATTTTTTCCAAAATCTGATATTTCGATCTTAAATTTAAAATTCTTTGCGAATTCACTTTTAATTCCCACTTTTTTTGAATAGCCCTGCTGATGTCTTTCTGCGCTGCAGAGCATCGGAAATCTTCTGATCTCCTTGCGCCACCTATTGGTAGCTACAAAATGTTGCAGTTGTCACACTACGTCCCGCCTCCTTATTCTTGCTTTCCGTTGCCTGCAGCTGCCACCTGATTGGTTAAGGCCATAGCGAATCCTCTCTGTTGATTGGTCAGCTTGTTTCGGTCTAGGTGTCATGGCTGCGCCCTAAGCTACACGTTGTTTGTATATTTGTAGCGCAATGTCTGCGTATCCAGGCAGCTGCTCTTCCTGTCAGAGGGATGGAGAGGGCCATGGGGCCGGGGAGCTGTGCTGTGTACATGCAGCTTCAGGAGTGCGAGAGACTGTGGAAGAGATGGACTTCCAAAGAGGTAGCCACAGTTTGCTTTCTTAGGCAGTGTCTAAAGTTAACTGATTGTTCTTTATGCCATTGTATGCATACAGCTTTTTACTGCCATATTGGTAACCTTGACACTGCTGCTTTTCCTAGTTGCACATTCCGGGTAGCTGACTGACCATTCCTATTCTGTACTATTATTTATCAGGTATATGGGCGGCTGCATTAGATGGAGACACTGACCGAGTCAGGCGTTTTATTGCGAAAGGAACGGATCCCAATCAGCCAGATAGATTTGGATACACAGCGCTGGTAAGACCCCCTTTTTTGTAATGTAATGATGGTAAAATGAATCGTTATGTCTGTTTTACATGATCCTCCTGGTAGTGTAGGGGTTAAATGTTCATTAAGGTGTCACGAGCTGGGTAATTATTATTATTATTATTATTATTATTATTATTTATATAGCGCCAACAAATTCCGTAGCGCTGTACAATGGGTGGACTAACAGACACATAATTGAGATCAGACCACTGACGTACAGGAACAGAGGGGGTTGAGGGCCCTGCTCGATGAGCTTACATGTAATGATCATAGACCATGCCTAAACTGTAGAAAGTTTGCCTTTTATTAAACGTATTACAATTACAAATTCTGTAAGTGCACATTACAAAGTCATTTCTGGTGCTCAAACGGCTACATGCTTCTACACACTTTTTGGCAGAAGGGGGGAAAAAAAATCTCTTGGTTTTAAAGTGTCACTGTCACTGGCTGGGGACTTTGCATAATTCCTGCTGGTGGTCCAGGGGACTGGGAAAGGTTAGATTTAGCTACCTGAACCTGTCCCTCGCAGGCGCTTCCATCTTCTTCAGGCAGGTCCTCTTTTGCTTCTGGTGCTCACGCACAAGAGTACAGCATTGAGGTCTATGGACCATCCACAGCTAATATCTCTGCGTCTGGAATATTGACATTTATAGATGGCAGTAGTTCTGCTCGGTGTGTAGAAGTGTCAGGCATAGAAAATCTACTGGGACAACGTAGGGACTGCTTTGTCTCAGTATATCTTTTGACTGGTTTGGAAGTCTGAGCGTTTTTATAAAGATTTTAGCTTTTATGAAATACAAATTTTGCAAGGGGAGGGGATACAACCAAATTGAAAAGCGAATTGGAAACAATAGTTATATTTTTAATTAAAAAAAAAATTTAAAAAAAAAAAAAAATATATATATATATATATATATTATTAATAATAATAATAATAATAATATTATTTTTATTTTTTTTTATGATGCACCATACTCTGCAGTTCCTGACTACATTTACAGCCCCTACCATACCTCTGTACAGTCCCTATCACTTTCTTTTACCTCTACACTAGAGCTGCTATATCCCTTTACACTACTGTCCCATCCTACCACTATATAATGATAGGAGTCATGCTGTACCACCTTATTTGTATAGATCATTATCAAGGGGAGGGGGATGGATGGCACAATTTTATTTTCTTGTCTCAGTCACAAAGGGAGCTTATACGGCGCTATTTGAAAACAATCCACAATTGCACTCTAGTCACAGCTTAGCTTTTGTGAATGTTGCTGTTCAGTTTTTAGTGTACCAATAATCACTGTTTATATACTTGCAACATTATTCACTAAACCAGAAACTGCTAATTTTAGTCAGAATTGTAAGAATTCTTCAACTGTTATTTTTCCATCTTGGCTATTTAGAACTAAAATTTGCAATTTCTGGTATCTATTCCAAGTTTATTGAATAACTAAAACACTGCCAGCTTTGGTAATCATGAAAAGTGTAATCTTTTGTACAAATGTCTCTCTTACTGTCCCTTCTCAGCATTACAGCAGCAGGAATGGTAACATCTTGGTTTGCAGTCTTCTCTTGGATAGTGGAGCAGATAGCAATGCTCAAACTCATGGCGGCAGCACACCATTACATCGTGCTGCATATTGTGGGCACATCAAGGTTGTACAACTTCTTCTTGATCATGGAGCTGACCCAGCCAGGATGGACTCAGATGGAAGGACTGCTCTTCATAAGGTGAGTGATCAGTCTTGAGGCAGAGTTGGGTTCTAAAGGGACACTAAAGTTGCCTGAGCAATTACAGCTTTTTGTATTTGTTCTGGTGAGAATAATCATTCCCTTCAGGCTTATTGCAGTAAACAATGTGTTTTCAGTTTTTTGTTGTTTTTTTTTTAAAACATTAAAGCCTAGGGATACCTCCAATGGCAACTCCTTAGATGGCTACTAGAGGTGTTGCACAGTGTGCAGTACTGCCATTCAGTGTCTCCACCCTCTGCATGGAGACCCTACACTTTCCTCATAAAGATGCATTGATTCAATGCATATCTATGAGGTGATGCTGATTGGCAAGGACTCTGTTTGGCTTGTGCTGTGTAAGTCACATGCAGGGAGGTTTACCTAGGGTTGAATAAACTGTTATTTGCCTCCTAAATGGCAAAAATTGAACAGTGAGACTGTAGAGGCATGATATATACACCAAAACTGCTTCATTAAACTAAAGTTGTTTTGGTGACTATTGTGTCCCTTTTAAGAATAGGGGTAACCTAAAACCTATAAAACATAAAAAGTATAATTTTAAAAAAAATGAAACCATGGTTCATTTAACTACAATAATTAATAAAACATCACTCTCTAAAAAGTATGAATAACTTGAGACTAGAGATTAACCCCTTAAGGACACGTGACATGTCATGATTCCCTTTTATTCCAGAAGTTTTGTCCTTAAGGGGTTAAAATGAATTGCAGTAAACAAAAACATCTTGTACCTTTTAAGCCATCCAGATCTAAGACACATATAATTATTTCTTACTGACACACGGCATCTAATTTTAAAAATATACCAAGTGCAATATTTAATCGCAGAACTTGCTTGGCATGTCAGATTTAGTGTTTGAGTGACATTTATTAATGGGAAAGCCTTTTGGTAGTGGTAAATTTTAAGTTTTTATAGTCCTTTAGAGTTGACTAAAAGAACCAGCTGTATAAATCCTTCCAGATATGGCCAGACATGTGAAGCAAATGTAAAAAAAAAAAAAAAAAAAAAAAGAGGGGGGACAAATTACATTAAATGTTCATATTTGGTTTTGTGTGTTTAATCATTTTCTCAAACTAATGAAAATGAAATTAGGATCTCCCTTTCTGCCACACTCTAGTTGTAGATGCAGTCACTTTCAGCAGTATATAAGGTTCACTGCGCTGTTCCGTGTAGTGGAGATGGCAAGTTTTTCCACCAGTGTTTTGGCCTTCTAATCTAATGTGGAGAGTGATGGTGGTTGGAATATCCTCCTTTAGCGCCCACATGCGTTTGGGCTTTCTCAATGGTGCTCAATATCTCCTTGGTTTAACTCTTATTTAAAGCCGCCGAGCTGCACTATTAGTAGCAATTATAACAATTTGCTTAAAACACTTAAACTATAAATCAAAAATTGTTCTACTGTGTTCTTCTTTTTATATACAAGATTTCAGTAAAGAGATTTAAAAAAAAAAAACAACTTATTTTAAGAGCTACTTTATTACACTGGTTACCATGGTAACACATGCTTAATTTCTAAAAAATACATGAGACCCAAGCTGAGCGATTTTTTTAAAAAGTATGGCTAAGTGTACTAATTACATTGCAGAACAAATAGGATAAAGGGTGGAGGTGCTGATTCTAGACTTCCAAAGCTAAATGCATGGCAAATCCGTGGTTCAGGTTGCCATGGTAACCTATCGTTTGGCTAAAATACAAGAAATACTGAGGCGATAACTGTGAGTAATAAGGTATTCTGGTTAAAATGACTTCAGATTTATTTTTTCTCCCTTGATCCAATCTTAACATCTGGGCAATAATTGTTTAAATTAGAGAAGGGTGCCACGGAAACACAATACTTTGGATTGCTACAGTGCCAGAATTTAATTTTCTTGGATATTATAAGTCGGATACTATGAGGGATGAAATAGAGTTAAGAGATATTGCGTTTATATAGGCTTTCACTAAGCCTTCTTCCACGTGAAAAGTACTATGTTAAAAAAAAAAAGTACTTACTATAAATGGTAATATATTGTATCTATGGCAAGTTAGTGCTGTAAGTTGTCATAGTAACAAAACAAGGTATTGCAAAAGGGGAAGGGAAGTATTATGGCTAATAATTGTGGGGGAAGCTACTAATAAGGGAAAAAGTATATGAGGAATGTTAAATAATACCCAAGATTGCTATTGATGATGATCTAAGTGGAACAGAAAAGGCCTTAAAGGAGCACTATAGGGTCAGGAACACAAACATGTATTCCTGACCCTATAGGGTTAAAACCACCCTCTAGCCCCCCTTGCCTCCCTATATATAGTAAAACCTTACTTGTATTCAAGCCTGAAGCTGCAGGCTTTGTCCCAGCTTCCTTGTGACTTGCTCACTGTCTGTTGACATCATCAGAAGTGGTAGCCTGATCCAATCACAATGCTTCCCCATAGGATTGGCTGAGACTGACCAGGAGGCAGATCGGGGCAGAGCCAGCACGATACAAACACAGCCCTGGCCAATCAGCATCTCCTCATAGAGATGAATTGAATTATTATTTATATAGCGCCATCACATTCTGTAGCGCTGTACATTGGGTAGACTAACAGACATGTAATTTTAACCAGACACTTGGATGTACAGGAACAGAGAGGTGGAGGGCCCTGCTCAATGAGCTTACATTCTAGAGTAAATGGGGTATAGTGACACAAAGGGTAATCAATGAATTTCTATGAGGAAAGTTCAGTGTCTGCATGCAGAGGGAGGAGACACTGAATGGATGCATTTTAGGCAGCCATAACCCAGGAATGATCTCTAACAGCTATCTGAGGAATGGCCAGTGACGTTAACACTAGGCTGTAATGTACAGTGTTTACAGCAAAAAGCCTGAAGGTAATGATTCTACTCACCAGAACAAATTCAATAAGCTGTAGTTGTTCTGGTGACTATATTGTCCCTATAATATCTGCACATTGGTATATGGACTGGAGTTTGTTCATACTTGCTAGTGTGGTAAGAGATGATAAAATCATATTAATGCAGTACATTGGGTTTTACTGAAGAGCTTCAAGGAACACTTTAGCGTTAGGAATACTTCTTTTCATTCCTAACACTAAAGTGTCCCCCATCCATGAAAGGGTTATGTAACTCTTTCAGTCACTTCCCTGTTTCCTGTGCTGGGTCGTGTTCCTTCTTTGCTAACACCAGATGATTTTTTTTTTTTTGGGGGGGGGGGGGACTACCTTATATATGGCAAGTGCTGCGCACATTGAATCAATTCTTTCCTGTGGGGTTTTGCACAGCGTGAGGATGTTTTAGTGTTGTTTCACAGAGTCAAACTCTGTGAAACTGCAGGAAGCGCCTTTAGTGGCTGTCTGGTAGATGGCTACTAAGTGCAGTCTTTTTCTCTAAAACTGCAATTTTTTTTTATTTTTTTTACATTGTAGGGTTAAGGTACACTGGATCTAGGCCTCTTCAATGAGGAGATGAAGTGGTCTGGGTGGTATAGTTAATTGCTGTATGGGGAACACTCAAAGCGCCATAGTGCTTATTGTGCCACTGCGCCCCCACCTTTTTCAATGAAGTCTTAACTATTTTAGCGTGGTTTGACTTCTCACCTGGGGTCTGCCAGTTACCCTTTTTTTTTCCTTCACTACATTTTATAGGAAGAGTTGAAAGCTCCTAAACAGGAGCTTTGGTTATGAACAGACATGGTTGTCCGCAGGGGGGGGGGGGCACTTTCTCCCCCCCTGGATTTTTCAGCTTGTGCTGCTATTTTTTGTTTGTGTGATTATAAACTGCAATATCAGTAGGTGGCGCTGTGAATGGAGAAAGGAAGGGATAGGAAGCTACAGATTTTCCCTGCTTCTTTCTCCTGACTGCATCCACAGGGGAGCAGCACAGAGTGTAGCCTACAGATCAGGTAAGTGAGGGATGGGGGGGGGAGACTGTCTACAGAAAGGTAAAGAGGCAGGAGGTGTCTGCAAGGAGCAGAAAGGGAGCAAAGGGGCGCAAAATAAGCAGAAGGTAGCAGAAAGGTAAAGGAGCCAAAGAGGAGAGAAGACCGTGTCAGAAGAAAAATAAGACTGTGTCAAATGGAGAAAAAAATGAGATTGGTGCAGGAAGGACAAGTGAAGTGATCCCTCCACTTTATTCTCGACACCACATCATAAGTCTTTGGTACCTGGGCCTGGAAGGAAACCTTGGACCTTCTCCTATCCCCAGGTAAAAAACAGATCAGTGTTAATGTGTTCACTTTGATTTACTGAGTGTCAGGAAACCCGGGGTGCCGCTGATTGGCTACAACGGTCAGCTGGCACTCTAAGCCAATTAGTAGCTCCCCATTTATAAAAACTTAAAAATAAATTATGAATTGGGAACTAGCGATTAGTTTAGAGCGTCAGCTGACCACTCTAGCCAATCAGCAGCACCCATGCCTCATGTCAATCTGCACTTCCTGACACTCCGTTTCAGAAGCTGAATACCACTGAGCAACCTGGAGATCTGGAGCTGGAGGAAGCATTTTGGGGTTAAACCATTTGAGAGCAGTTTAACCCCTTAAAGGAAAGAGCACCCAGGGGCCTCCTGGCATCATAGCATTTTCATTAAGATTACATTATGGTGACCAGAATGTTCCTTTTAATTTGCTTAAAGGAACACTATAGTGTCAGCAATACAAACCTATATTCTTGACACCATAGTTGTGAAAACTCTATTCACCCTGGCTTTATGTGATAATGACTATGCTCCTCACCTTCATGACACTGTCAAAAAGGGGCCAAGCATGGATGTCATTACAATTCTGCCCCCTCCTAGAAAAATTCCTGCAGCCGGCCATGGGAACAGATGACCTCTTTCAGCCAATGAGCAGTGCAGAACTTAGCTGTTAGCTTCGTGGTAGGAAGTAAAGGAGGTGAGGTGCGATGACCAGCAGACCCCCGGTAAGTAGTGAAAATATTCTAAAGCGTGCTGTATGGTGCTTGGACTGTACATTTAAATGTGGCCCTGTCGTAGGATGTCGCATTTGCCTATATCGACTGTAAGTGCTATTTTTGGAAAGTAGAACCATGTAAGCACAACAACAGTCCAGTAATGAAACTCTAGGTGACAAAGCGTGGGAATGGTGAGTGCTGAAGCAGGTATTGTGCAAAAAGTGCCTATCATCTGTTGTCACTCACTGGAGCAGGGCTAGGCAACCTTTAGCACTCCAGATGTTGTGGACTACCTATGTCATACAGCTGTAATACTGGCAAAGCATCAGGAGAGATGCATTCATTAACATATGGAGTGCCAAAGGTTGCCTATCCCTGGATTAGTGTTTCATATTGCCTCAGGAAGCAACATCAGCACGAAAACTGTGCCTCAGGAACCTTGTGAAATGGTTCTCCATGGCAAAGAAGCTGCAGAAAAGCCTCACCTCAACATGCACAATGTGTCGGCTCACGTGTCCTAAAGCACGCTACCACCGGACCCTGAAGCTGTGGAAATTTGGTGTGAGGAGTCATGCTTTACTATCTTGCAGTTTGATAGAACAATCAGTGTGGAGGATGTCAAGTGACTGTGATTAACAGAAATACCTAGGGCCAGACTTCGACAAACATGCAAAAGTGTGGAAATGTGCAGTTGGCTAGTAAAGACCTATAGCATCCTCTTATTCTTTCTGGGGAGACCTCTGATTTCCCCAGTTGGCCTTGGCCCATGGCTGTCTTGGTTTGGCATTTGGCCAGATTGCCCATTGATCAGTCTGGGCCTGATTGGACTTACTATAAAGATTGGTGGAGGAAGGATATGGGTTGGGCTAATATTTAGATTAAAATCTTAGCCTTTTAGTTTGCCACACTGGAACTAAACAAATGGGTACTTTCACCTTTTGTGGCAACCGTTTGTGGAAGGCCCTTTCCTGTTACAGCATGACTGTGTGCAAAGCAAGGACTATAACAACACTTTTTGACAAATTGAGTGGTCTACACCTATACCTTACCTCACCACACATGGTGTTTTGGTTGAATGAGCACAAACCCGCAGAGACTCCATACAAAATTATGTAGAAACCCTTTCCAGAACAGTTACTTATCTTATAGCCATAAAAGGGGCCAAATTCCATATGAATGCCCATGGTTTTGGAATGGAATTTGTAACAAGCTTATATAGGTGTGATGGTCATATGTTCACATACATTTGGTGTATGGTTTATAGCTACCAGTTTTTCATATTTTAATGTTTTGTCTTTAATTGTTCGTGGAAAACCAGTAGTAACTTAAAGGAGCATGTCCAATAATAAGTGATAGTGTCAAGAAATAGCAACAGAAAACACCTAGCATGTGACCTGTAAAATGACACAATAATTAGTAAATAAAACAGTTTGAAGGTGTTAAGTGGCAAACACAAGAACAATACAGTATACACAGTGCCCCCTTCACTAATTCCGGTGGAGAGCTGGAAACCTCTCCTAAGTGGGTGTTTCATTAGCTCTCCAAATTAAGACCTGCACTGCTGGGCTTAGCTCAGATAGAGAGCTTCTGGCACAAGTAGTGTATCTGGTTAGTGGTGCCCAGTTTACATCAACTAAGCAGTAACAATATTCTAAAGCAGTGTGACTCCTTCTGTGGGTTGACAGTCCTGGAATATAACCATTACGAGCTGTAGTGTTTTTGGTGCCTCAGTATGCATCATTTATTTTACTTCTTACGGTGGTGGCTGGCTAGCAAGAGCTCGTTAGCTGCCCCACACTTAAACCTCAGGCCAACAAGGGCCTCCCCTCACCCCCCTCTTTTGCTTTAAGCGACATATCACAAAAGTACACAAGTAAGAAATCTTATTTATATTAAAAAAAAAAAAAAAAAAAAATCCTTTTTAAACTACCGGTAGTTCCTCACTGTCTGTTAGTAGGCAAATGATTTAGGGATGTGCATGGGGAAAATTTTCGGTTTGGGACTTCGGCACTTCTCTTGCAGCCACTTAGTAGATAGCTCCTTAATTCCCACGGTATTAGGGAGTTATCTACCAAAAGGCTGAAAGACCTAAATTGGTCTTTCAGCCAAATTTACTAATCTGAAGTAAAAATTACTTGGTACTAGTAAATTATGCCCCTACTCGCTATACCATGAGTAGGGGCATGTCTATTAAACAGTGAGCAGCCAACTGCTCAGTTTAAAAAACAAAAAAAAAAAAACTTAAAACTCCCGAGCCCTAAATCAGAAAGGGGGAGGAGACCTATTGTCCGCCCCCACCCCTGAGCGGCAGGGGGGCACCTATTGTCCTTCTCCCCCGGCCCCCACCACTGAGCGGCGGGTGGGGGCCCTAAAGTAAAAAGGGGGGACCTATTGTCCTTCTCCCCCACCTCTGAGCAGCGAGTGGGGACCCTAAAGTAAAAAGGGGGGGGGACCTATTGTCCTTCTCCCCCCCGAGCGGCAGGTGGGGGCTCTTAAGTAAAATAAGAGAGGGGCCTCTTGTCCACCCCCACACGGCGGATAGGGGCCCCAAATTAGAATAAGGGGGGGACCTATTGTACTCACCCCTGAATGGCGGGTGTGGGCCCTAAATTCCAATAAGGGGCGGGCCTATTGTCCTCCCCCACCCCTGAGCAGCGAGTGCGGGCCCTAAACTAGAATAAGGGGGGAAACTATTGTCCTCCCCCCTGGCCTCCACCCGAGTGGCGGGTGGGGGCCATAAATACCAATAAGGGGCGGACCTATTGTCCTCCCACCTGGCCCCCAACCTTGAGCGGTGGGTGGGGGCCCTAAAGTAAAATAGGGGGGGGCCTATTTTCCTCCCTCCTGGCCTCCACCCCTGAGCGGTGGGTGAGGGCTCAAAATTAGAATAAAGGGGGGGGACCTATTGTCCTCCCACCCCTGAGCGGCGGATGGAGGCCCTAAATAAAAAAAAATATACCCCCTAGTGCTCTGACGGGTAAATGAAGGGACTGACGGGTAAGTCTCTACATTTACCTGTCACAGCACTCTGGTTAGCTTGAAATCCAGTCAATCCGAGTGATCTGTGTCATTTTACATAGCATGGGAAAGTTCTTTGGAATCCAAAGAACTTTCCCACGCTGTGTAAAATGACACCGAGCACTCTGGCTGGATTTCAAGCTAACCAATCAGAGCGCTGTGACGGGTAAATGTAGAGACTTACCTGTCAGTCTCTTCATTTACCTGCCAGAGACCTCTGATTGGATGGCTTAAACCAACCAACCAGAGTCCTCTGAGCCTAATTGCAGGGCGGGACAAGGCTTTATAAGCCCTCCCCCGCCCTGCAGATCTCAGTCTGCGCGGAGCCCTCCATGGGTGAACATGGATTATTTTATTTTTTTTGTGCTGTTTTTTTTTTTTTGTTTTTTTTAAAGTGTGACAGATATTATGGCTTTTTATTTGGCCTTTTTGGGGGCTGAAAAAAGATTTTAGAAGAAAGACATGAAATATTAAGTTTTTATTGATTTAATTTTTTTACAGGTTCCTATTTATTGGTCCCCCCTCACTATTTTTACAGTGGGAGGGGGTAGGTAGGGGTTAATAAAAAAAAAAAAAAAATATATATATATATATATATATATATATATATATATATATATATATTTTAGGAAAGGACTCTTAGTCCCAGTCACCTGGGGGTTAAATTTTTTTTATTTAGGGCCTTCATCTGCCACTCAGGGGGGAGGACAATAGGTGCCCCCCTTATTCTAATTTAGGGTCTCCACCCGCCGTTCAGGGATGGGAGAACAATAGGTCCCCCCTCCCTTATTTTACTTTAGGGCCCCCACCCGCTGTTTCAGAGCTGGGGGACTTTTTTTTTTTTTTTACAGTGAGCAGCTGCAGTCTGCTCACTGTTTAATAGACATACCCCTACTCGCAGTATAGTGGTATAATTTACTAATACTAATTAATCTTTACTTAGTATTTGTAAATTTGGCTGAAAGACCAATTCAGGTCTTTAAGCCTTTTAGTAGATAACTCCCTAATGCCGTGGGAATTAGGGAGTTATCTACTTATTCATTCCTGTCATTCCATTGACAGGCTAAGTAACTTACATTTTATATGAATTTGTTACTTGATTGTTGTAGGTGTTGCACATGCTTACAGCTGAAATCCAGTCAATCCGAGTGATCCTGGCTATGTTTGTATACTTTTTATTTAAACCTGTATACAGTGTAACATTCTTCCACTGGGTAGGTATATTAGTATTAGGGAACTAAGGCAATTCAGCTATTCGGAAGTATCCAAATGTCCGAATTGACATTGGGAACAAAACGAATTGCACATGTTTACAAATGATTCACATTTCAAATCTAGGCTTGGCTTTTAACTGTCTGGCAGCATTTTGGTCAGCCTTAAATCTGGACACAATCCTAACTCAGCTGAAGGCAGAGTTGCAAAGTCCCAACATTTAACTACTGTTCGCGATATTTGTACTCTAGTAAATCAACCCATCTATGCCCTGCAGGAAAGCTTTTTAATAATGAGCGGCACAGACTTATTCTGCTGCTGTGATTAAGGCATAGGGCACTGTGTTTTACTTGTTTCAGATGGAGGAGAAATGGAAATAAGGGAAGACTGATACTGTTATTCATTTAAGAACCCTGGCTGCAGGCCACAGGGAAGAGGAGTAGAAAGCTAATGCATTCTTTTGGTGTTTTGAGGATTTTGTCACATTTAAATTTTCCAGTAGGCAGCTGAAGGAGGTCATCGGGAGTTGTGCCACCTCTTCTTCCATCAAAAAGCAGAGCTCCTGGAAATACAGGATTGTCGGGGTCTGAGAGCAGCTGATTTAGCCCCATCAGGAGTGACTGACCTTTTTCCTGCTCATTTTGCAGTCTAAGTAAGTGTTGCCATAACAGCCTTGTAATAGGCTATACTGTCAGTGCTATAGAACAGGGGTTCCCAACCCAATCCTCAAGGACCCCCTACCAGTCCAGGATTTATGGATTACCCTGTTGTGTCTAAAGTGTGTTTTTTTTTTTTTTTTTTTTTAAACCTTAGACACAACTGGGTAATCCCTAGAATAGATCCTGGACTGCTAGATGTACTTGGGTTGGGATCCACTGCCATAGGACCAAAGAATGCATTGATGACAATACAGGTTCTTAACAGGTTAAAATAAATAACCTTACTACTACACTGCTTTTAAATACAGACTGCAGAGAGATTGTAAAAGCTTATTAAATTGTGAGTTGTAGAGCAGCAAACTGAAATGTTTTAAGACATTTTTCAGTGTTTGTTACAGTCATTCTTATTTGTGAATGGTTTAGGATGCTATGTGCCCATTCTATTCCTGGGACACAGGAATAATGCAGGTGACTCACTTCTGGATCTCCTGATGCCGGAAAAACAACAACAACAAACCTTTCTTATTTACATAACAATGTGTCCTATATATGCCAAACTTCTGCTTCCTCTGGGTGGGTCTTTGTTTAACCAATCCCTGCCCTCCCTATCACAGGAGCAGTAGAGCAACTTTATTTATTCACAAAACACTGAATTGCAATTAAGCTAAAATAGCAACGCTCTACCTGTAGTAGTTGAAGTTTGTTTTTGTTTTGTTTTTTTACCTAAAGTTTGAGTTTGCTAATATTTTAGTATTTACTGTATAAATTCCATTGTCTTTATCTGTGTACAGGTTATCTATAACCCCTTCATTGCATTCAACTGGAAAGGGGCATTAGAAAACGCTAGCTTATTTAGTAAATATTGATAAATAATGCCCAAAGCCTTTGGCCACAGGCTTTTTGATATTGCTGAGGCAGTGCTAGTTCTCTCTAATTGTGTCTCAAATAAATGGTCGAGCTTTTTCTCAACTGGGCTTGTATAAAGCCTTTTTAAGTACACATGGATTCATAGATTTTTAGCAGGAGTTGTGCTATCATCCCATTTAAATTAAAGGATCACTATAGGGCCAGGAACATAAATATGTATTCCTGACCATATAGTGCTGAACCCACAATTCAGCACTATAAGCTAGCCCCCCTATAAAAGTGTAAAACTCACCTTTTTTCCAGCGCCGTGCTGGCTCCGTCCCCTTTTGAGACATCATCAAAATCGCAGATTTTTTGCCAATCCAATGCTTTCCCATAGGGAATCAGCACAGTGGCTGGGCCAAATGCTATTTTGGCCAATTAGGACCTCCTCATAGAGATGCATTGAATCAGTGCATCGCTGAGGAAAATTCAACATCTCCATTCAGAGCATGGGGACGCTTACTGTTCAGCCCTGAACCGAAAGCCCCTCTAGTGGCCACTTGGGTTTCCCAAGGGGGTAATGTTAACACTGACTTTTCTCTGAAAAGGCATGTTTACATTAAAATGTCTGAAAGGAGCTATTATACTCACCAGAACTACATTAAGCTATAGTTGTTCTGGTGACTATAGTGTCCCTTGAAGCGTAAACCCTCATCACATTCAGCACATTTACCATACATGCTACAGTTATGTTACTTTGTATGCGTCCAGCACAATTAATGTACATTGGATAAAATAGAAGTCAATAACTGACAGGTGTGTTCTTCTATCACTAGGTTATATGCGACAGGAGAGGTGGACGGACGTGTTTGTCCTGCAAAGTAGCCCAAGGGGACTATAATTGTCCAATAGGTGGTGAATCTGGTAGTGCATGTTCCAACTACTGATGTCACATAGAAGCTGCAGTTTCATAATGCCATCTACCGCTGCAGGATGTGAGATTCAAGAGATCTTTTTTCATTTTTTTTTTTTTTTTTGGTAAATACTGTTTTGATCGGCTTTGGCTTGGTTTCCCCAGCTTACGTTTGATGAGAGACAGACGCAGGAAAGCAAAGCAGTTGAACAGTATTTTGGGGTGTTTTTTTCTTTCAATTTCCACATTCTCACCATATGATCGGCTTAATACAAAATATACACCTAATGTTCTATAGCTTCTATAAAATATTAATAACCCAACACCTTCTTACAGACATCCCATCACTAGCACAGCAGCAGGGATGTTTCTAAAACCCATTGTCTGCCTGCAGGACTGCGTGCCAGGACGGAAACTTCTGGTTACACTTTCATGCAAAACATGTGCTACTTAGAATCAGATTCCTCCTCGGTACAGGGGAAGCCAGCAAATGTATGGACAGCTTCTTCAAATTATACAAGTAAAAAAAAAAAAAAAAAAAAATTATAAAATTGCACAATGGAATGGCACTGCTAGGAGGGCATTGAAATTGAGGCACAAAGATGGAGAGGAAAAAAAAGTCTGCCCACTTGTGACAAGTCTTCTAAGGTAGGGGAATATCCCATGCTCCCTTGCAGTAAGTTAGGGAGATAACCCCTCCTTCATACTCTGCATGCCATGATTAAGATCTGTTGTATCTGTCACACTTTCCTTCTTCGTTCCTGCAAATCCAAAAAGACATTATAAAACATTTGTTCAGCATAAGCCTCCCCTTTGCTCAAGTTACTCCCTCTTGTATTTTAGGCATTTTTGTCTGTCATTGCACATGATTACCTACAAGCAAGTGAGGGAATAAGTGAGAAAAATACTAAGCCCATGCATATTTTTATCTCTATCCATCAGACTGCACTTCCAGATATCTAGTGCTGTTCCTTGAGGATCACTGCAGCTCTGATAGAGCAGAATACTGGGAAATAGTTTAATATCCAAAACACAAAGTGCAAACAGTGTGAAATCACATAGGTGTGCTGTGAAGGCAAACTCAAGCAAAGCAGGCTAGCGGGAAATAACTCACTTAAAGCAACTCCATTCTTTTTGTGATTTAGCATAATAACATTCCCTGGTTACATGTAATTCCTCCTTCCATGTAGAACATTACTATTTTTATGAACATTTCTTCTACAGTATGATATTATGTAAATCAGAAGGCTATGGTTAACAACCATCCAAGCCACCTATGTATTCAAAATGTCAAGAATCAAGTACTGTATTTCAGGTTTTAGCCCAAAATAGCCAAATAGGAGAATTACATTATTTTTTTGTGCCCAATATATGCATTTTTCTGATCTTTTTGTACTTCAATAAATAAGCCTGGGTGATAAGAGGCTTAAAATTTGAAAATGAACACTTTGACTGTGCCTTCAGAAAGATGTGCTAATAGCATAAAATAGGCCTGTCTAAATAACTTTTAAAAAGGCCAAGTTTTGATAAAACACCCAGATTTTAATACAGAATGTATTATGCTTAAGCCACAGCAGCGTATGATCTTTGTGAGGAGAGGGAGGGGTGGCGGGGGGGAAGCTATACTTTGTAAATGCTGTTTGGTTTGCAGCGGTATAGTGGGAGCAAGGGCAATATCTTTTTATATTGAATATTTACCTCCGTGTGTAACAGTACAAGTTGCTATTAGCTGAAACTCTCAATTGTGCCCATAACTGAACAGTTGATTAGTAGTGCTGGAAGTTGAAGAGGAAAGAAAACAACAAGGGAGCAGGTGTAGAAAGGGAGATAAAAATTAAGGAAAATACACACAACACAAATCAACTTCCAGTAATTTCAACAGAGTTTGTATTACTTGCTACTGTCATTAAGTGTTCTTGCATAGCAAGACCACTTAATGTTATCTCACATATATATTATTATTATTATTATTATTCTTATTATTATAGCAAAATTTGCCACCCTAACTCCTCCCACAGTTTTTACACTACATAGACCAAAATTTACCAAAACGTGCAGATTGTTCCCGATCGGATTGCTATTACTTTGTGGAACGTTTCGCCGAATGGTTCACGGAATATCGTCGTTTTTGTGGCGAATTTGTCCCATAGGAATGAATGGCAAAGCTAGAGTGGGAGCTGGCAAAAGCTGAAAAATCAGGACATGATTTCTAAACTGCCACCACTCCCTTATTTTCAGGCCCACCTACACAAATCTTATATCAAAACGTTCAGCTATCCCTGCTGCCACTAAACATGTCAACGGCTAAGCCGTAGTCCTGATAGTTTTCACAATATAATCATTTGTTTGCAACTAACGCCGTCCATTGACATTCATTGAAACTTCACTCTGCAAAGCTCAAATTTGAAGTGCAATTTCTAAACTGCGACTGTGCCTTCAATTTTAATACTTCAGAGACATACTATGCATCAAAATGTAGGTCTGGGTCTTGTGATTCTCACAATATAAAGCTCTTCACTGTAGGAGTTATAGTTTTTAAGATACAACCGTTTGAAGATGGCAACCACCAAAATACTCTGACCTGTGTCAAGCTGCAGCAGCAAGTGATGTCATAGACAGGGCCTTTTGAACACCTGCTAATGTTTTTATAAATGTATGGTTTAATGTAACTGTGCAACAACGTTGCAATTAAATGTGCTAGACTACTGGTGGAGGCAAGAACACTTCACACAATTTCCCCAGAAATTGTAGCTTTTCTAGTTATTATTGCTTTTTAACATGAGGCCTCGCAGGGTAAATGTCCCCACCCTGGATGTGTTACAGGAATTAATCCTCATACAAAGAATATAGTGTATTAAGACAGAGAGCAATAATAGCTGTGGTACCAGAAGCTAGTTTTCACTATCCTCATTATTACTCCAATCGATTAAAATTTGAGGGAAGGAGTCCAATTACAAGTCTTTTCTATTGCTGTGAAGAGATTTGAATTCACTGTCACAGGAGTCTGTGAAATGTTAAATTTGACTGACTCGACTGGTGAATATTTTAACTAAAATTAAGAGGTGGGATTGCTAGCTGTTTGATTTCCTTCTCATGCACAGTATCATTCCCCCCTCCCCCAGTCAGAGTTGGTCTAATATTAAAACACTGCTCTTGTTAGTGCAGTTTAGTGTTTTGAACACTAATCCACTCATTGTAGAAATCACATTTTTCTGAATTCCTCAGGACAGGGGAAAACAAAACAAAACACATGGTATCATGATTATAGTATTTAATATGAAGACCTAGCTAACTTCTAAAACCGTTTTTTTTTTCTTAATACAAATCATAATGTTTCTTTAAAGTTCACTATGTGCAATCTTGTGGCATCTTTAACCATAACTATACTGTTTCTAAATCAATTATAAAGTGGCAGCTGTTGTGTTGACATTTTAAACATGGGGTGGGCTGCCCATTGTGTCTGTTATACCATCTTAATGGAACACACTGGGCTCTATCACAACTTCAAATGAAGTTATGCTGCCAGAAGGTCCCTGGCTCAACCTGTCAAACACTTTTTTTTTTTTTTTTAAAGCCAGTTTTATGAATGGGGATTCGATTGGCTGAGAGCATCAGTGGCACCTCTGCCTAATTCTACAAGAACCTTCTGGTTTAGAGATTTTTATAAGACGGAAGGGCAAAGAGGCAGGGCGATTTGACAACGGAATAAAGATTTTGGTTAATCCGTTCTCTAATGGTTTAACTCCACTTAGTGAGCCTGCACTACAAACCGCCTGGCACCATAACCGCTTCATTTTGATTAAGTGATGCCTACAATTTAACCCTGTGAGATGCTATTCCCTGTTCAAAACCAACTGCATCTCCAGTCTTCAATAAAGAGGATAAAGATGAATACTGCAGATCAGTGGTGCCCCAGGGCACACATGGGCATCGCAAGATATTTCCCTGGTGCTATGATCATAGCACTGGGAACTATGCTCTCCCCTGCCGACTCTGCAGAACTGAAAGGGATATCAGAAATCTCCGTTCCGCACAGTGTACTGCTGGCAGCCGGCAGGGGAGGGAGAGGACCCAGGGGAGCTCTAACATGCGGCTCCGCCGGGTTCTCCTCTTGCGAGCTCGGAGTGTTGCCACAGTTACCATGGCAACGCTCTGAATTTTGCGTGAGTGAACTCTAGCAGCTCCTGAGGCTGCTAGAGTTCTCTTGAACCACCAGGGCTTCTCCACCGGACCACTAGTACTGTTCCCCCATCCCAGGCAAAAGTAAGCAGGGGGGAGAAACATAAAAATTATTAATTTAAATAAAGTATATTTATGAATTTGCCCTCCTACTCCTACCACACAATAACTCCCCTCTACATACACACTACATCCTTCACAAACACAATGCAACCCCCCCAACACACACACACACACACACACACACACACTCTACAGCCCCTATCGCAGCAGAACCCAGGTAAGTTGTCAAACCCAAGATTAGGTTCTGGGTCTGCGCCTGAACGGCAAGCATTTCTGCCAAACTAGGGCCCAGTATATGCCGCAGCGCTTTACATATATACAACCTAGAAATTTTGACTTGGACCGCCTTGAACCTAAAAGGTTTGGGAACCACTGCTGTAGATAAGAAAACAAACAATCTGTCATGATTATAACACACTTATCAGTAGTCCTTATAATACAAATAGATTAGGGTTTGTTTTGGCAACAAAACATGTGTGTTATTTTAAACTATATTTTGCCTCTTTACTACAGGTGAAAATTTGAGAGCTACTCCTTAAAGGACCACTCTAGGCACCCAGACCACTTCAGCTTAATGAAGTGGGCTGGGTGCCAGGTCCAGCTAGGCTTAACCCATTATTTTATAAACATAGCCATTTCAGAGAAACTGCTATGGTTATCAATGGGTTTAGCCTTCCCCCCAAAGCCTCTAGCGGCTGTCTCATTGACAACCGCTAGAGGCGCTTGCGTGCTTCTAACTGTGAAAAATCACAGTGAGAGCACGCAAGCATGCCGTGCATGCGCATTCAGCCGCATAAGAGGAGGAGAGCTCCCCACCCA